TGATTAAGGTCGAAATGTACGTCATTGAGGCCGTTAATTAGAATCTCTTAATTTCACTTGTTGGTTAAACTGTATATTTTATGTGTGTTGAGTGTCAATCAGGTTGTACATCGTCGGAGCATAAAATGAGCAAAAAGACAGAATTTGGGTAGAGTTGACTTTCCTGCATGTGCGTTGACTTTTTCCGCACGTGCGTTGACTTTTTCGCACGTGCGTTGACGTTTTCTGGGAAAGTCAAACCGACGTTTTAAACCTGTTAGGACGAGTTTGGAAGTATAAAAGGGCAAGTAAAAGGCTGGATTAGGGTTCGGAAATTGTTTTGACCTAAAGAGAGAGGCTAGGGTTTGAAAAAGAGGAAGAAACAAGAAGCTTCAAAGATGTCTCCCATGGTAGTTCCTTCTCCATCTACCTCCTCCCACTCCTCCATGAGTGGGTAGTCTCATTTTCTAGGGTTTTGAAGAAACCCTAGCCATGTAATAGGTTTTTCTTTTTTTGATTTTATATTATGTAAAGGTTTGAACCATTGTATGGTGTTTTAGAAATTCTTTATATATAATTTTCATTATCTTTTCAAATATTTGACTTTCTGTGATTGTTGAATATTATCCATACATGAGTTTTCTATTCCTTCACATTCAAGGTATGGGACGAACCATGCTACGAGGAACGAGTCGTATCACTACCCTAGATTAGAGTGAACGATTCGTATTACTTGAGATGGTTCGTACTCGTACATTGAATGTGGTGATCTTCTTGTTAAATGCTTTGAGCTTGTAGTTGCGAAGCATTAATCCGTTCAAACCATAGCATAATTAATTTCAATTGGAAACTCTAATTATGTGGTTAGTGGTGAATTCTCTACCCTAGGATTTTTCCCTAATTCAGTAAACCCAATTTCATTTATTATTGATAATTTAATTCCTTAGTTTAATTTATTCGTTATTAAATTAGGTTATAAACAACAAATCTTTTTATCAAAATTAATTTAGAAATTTGACAATTTGATGGGTCGTTGAGTTTATTGGGTAGATACTTGCATGCCATGTTTGCACGAGGAGAGTTGTCTCTTTAGGTGCAAATAGTTTCTTGAGGCAATTCATAAGGGCTTTACCCAGACTTTAATTGGGCCTCCCACTAAAGGACGGTGAGATTGGTCCCCCGGTTGACAGCGAGCTATAAAAAAAAAGAGCTTTAAACAACTATGTGTCATTTTGGACAAATAATATCATTTTAAACAAAAAAAAAGATTTAAATTAAATTCAAAAATAAACCTCTAACGTTATCGCCGTTTATATATATATATATATATATATTTATATTCTCACGAGTTAAAATTAAAAAATACCACTTCAAGAAAAATACATATAAAGCCCATCCCATTATAAAGGGTGTACTTTATTTTCTCTATATTTTGGGATGATGAAACCTTGCGTAAACGTAAAATATGAAACCTTGCCTAAACACAAAATATATATATTTTTTTCCTTGCATCTCTTCTCAAAAATAAAAATATTATTATTTTTTCTTTAAATAAATACTCAAATATAATATCTAATTAATAAAGAGGAAGAGTAGAAAACATTATTGAAAAAAATAGTTAAAAGATGACTCCTAAAAATGTAAGGATTAATTATCCCAAGACCCTCTTAACCAGAGACCTCATACCACAAAAAGTGTTATACAATCAATAGATCAAATGTCATGATTTTTCACTCTATTCAATTAGGTAAATTCTATTATATATATAAAATCCATACATAAAACTTTACAAAAATAATGTGACAATATCATTATTACAAATAAATTCAACTTCAATAATATTTTATTTTGAAATAAAAGATCCATAATGAATCATATTTGCGTACAATAGGTAAAATAAAAATTTAAATTTCAAACAACAGTAACTGACAATTATTATTTTGTAAATTAATTGTCAAGTGGTTATGGAATTATGGATGATTCATATGAAATGAATAAAGATAATTTAGAAAAAACAAAAGTCCACATGGCAAATAGAAAAATGATTTCAAGACAACAACTCAAATTTTTACCTTATATAATAGAATAATAGGATATATTTTTATTTTTGAGACAATACGACAATTATCATAACATGAATGGTGTAAAAGAATATTCTAAAACTACCAAATAATTTCTCTTTTGTCACTACTTTTATTTATTTATTGAATTAGTGGAAAAGTGCTATCTTTTTTCTTTTTTATTTTTTATCGGTAAAAGTCAGTTGTTAATTATTAGATTATTACTTATGAGAGTTAGCGTCTTCAGTGACCGAGTCAGGAAATTAAATCAGGAGGCGCACTTATTAATTATAGCTTTATTTATATTTTTTTTGATAACCAACAATAAGAAGATAATAATAATTTTTGACTTTTTATATAATATGGGTTGAATATGGGTTGGATTTGAAGTGATGTGGTAGAGAGGTGATGTGACTTAAATAAGATGATGTGACTTAAATAAGATAGTGACTTTTTGACTTTTTTAGTAGATGCCAAACAAATCGTTACAAAAGTATTTCACATAAAATTCTAAAATTAATTTCAAGTAAAATCGAAAAGAAGGTATTGCGTGTAACCAGTGTATCATGGACAATGCAAAAAAGTCATATATTTAAGTCGTAAATTTAATTATATAATGGTAAGATAAATCAATTTTTTACAAAATTTGAGTAAAAATTTTATATAATAGTGATATTACGTCATTATTGACATATGATATCACCAACTAATAATAAAGTAACATATGAAGAGTGAACTCCATATGCAAATATAACTAACACTCTAGTAATTTTTACATATATATAGTGAGATTAATTACATTTGCATATTAATAATGATAGATATTACTTTTATATTGAGATTTTTTTACAAAATTTTTATACATAAAAATATAATTTGTCGTAGTCACTTCATTTTCAATAAAACAATCACTATTGTTTTCATAAATTTAAAAATACCCTTGATATTTTATTCTAAATATTATTTTTATTTAAAATTTTATTTATATACATATGTAAAAAAAAAAAAAAAAAATCCAAGAGGGGCACGTGACCCCCCTAGTCCCCATGTGGCTCTGCCACTGCTCTTCATCCTTTGTAAAAGGGTCATGTGCTTGACCCCTTAATTCAACTCTCCTTAGGGAGATTTGAACCCACGATCTCTCTCCTTAGGGACTAAATTTTTAGAAAAGTCATTGCACCAATTAGACTAGGCTTAGTTTGTCGAAGGACTGTGCTATCTACCACAAATTTTGTATGGAAAGTTATCTCCGAAATAAAATATTGGATAAATTACAATAAATCTCCTTAAAGAGTGATTCATTCACACTTTGCTTTCTTACTTTCAAAACTCAACAATTATTCATCTTGAAATATTACCTTATTACAATTAATCTCTTCCATTAGAGTTCTATTAGGGATTTACATAAAATTAAGTCATGTGTAAACCATATGAAATACTTACTAAATTTTTAGAACAATAATGTTCTTATCTGGTGAGCCCGTTTGTATTTTGCCACTAAAATAAAGAAGGTGACGTGCAAATGAGATCACCTGATAAGTGCATAATTGTTCTATGAAATTAATAAGTATGTCATGTACTTCACTAATGATATGATTTCTTTTAATTTTCTAACAAAATCTTAATGGAAAGTGTTGAGTGCAACAAGATAATATTTTAAACTATTGAGTTTTGAAATACGTGAGAACAAAATGGAAATAAATTATAGTTTAAGGAAATTTAATTTAATTTACCTAAAATATTTAAAGTAGATTTAAGATTTGTAAGATGTGGAACACACTCAAAATGATTGTAGTTACAATTTTTATTTACCCAGACTTGTAAAAGAATGATCTCTCCCTTTCCTTAACCTCTCTCTTTCTTTCATTTTCGTACCCCTCAATTCATTCAACTTATTATATCACAACTAAAGAAAAAGAAGAAGAATGAAAAGAAAAACTAAAAGAAAAAGAAGAAAATGAAGTCCATAAAGAATTTTTGCATCTTCTTACAAGAACACAACGCGAAGAAATTGAAATGATTTTAATTATGGGACTTGCACAGTTAATCACCAGATCTCTGTACTCTGTTCAATAAATTTTATTAATTAATGGTTTTCATGATAAAGAAGCATTTTATAATACAAGAAGAAGAAGAAGGAGAAGAAGAAAAGGAAGAAGAATTATTTATTTAAAGAACTCCACATACAACTCTTAGGCTATGTTTGTTTTGAAAATTTGTTATAGAATTAAGAGTTTGACGGGATTATGAAACTCCTTGAAAGAGGAAATTCGTGATCCCTTAAGAGAGGTGATATTGAAATCTAATCCAATAAGATTGGAGGTGAAAAAACTATTTTGTTCCTCAATTTACAAAACAAAAGACACCTCCTATATAATAAAGATTTCTAAGTAATTCCATAAATTTAATATCAATTAACTTAATACTACCACACTAATAATCACTCACTCAAACAAACTAGCCACAAGGATGTACATATACATTACGTATAATGATGACAACATATCACCAACAAATGACAAACGTTTCTAATTTGGCAAGGCATTGATTGCAAACTCTTAATCCAAAAATTTGAAAAAAAAAAAAACAAACAAACAAACAAACAAACCTCATAAACAAGATGGTAGAAGTAGAAGTTGCAAAGGGAAGGGAAGGACGAGCCGCAATGGTTGCAAATATAAACCCTTACGTATTGTATTAATTGATATGTAACTATATTTTCGACTTCTGTTTTGGGCGAGGAGTTCCTAAAAAAATAATTGCAAAAAAAAATAAAAATAAATAAACAAATTAATTGACACAAAATTATAAATTCAGATCAAATTTGAGTCAATTGAAAAAATGTCAAAAAGTATAGCAAAAAGAGAAAGTAAACTCTCACCTCTTAAATTCTTCCCAATCGCATACATGGCTTTGGAAAACTGAGAGTGAAGAGGGACCAAACCAACAAAGACAGAGCCGATGTCATACAAAGGATTGAAACAAGCTCACAAAATCTGGCAAGAAATGAGGCGGCGGCGGTGTCATGAATTAACAAAGCGGTGAGGGCGCCGGTGAAGGCATACACGAGCGATACAACAAATGCATGAAAACCGGAAGAGGGGATGCCGTTGAATATCACGGTGGGAACAGGGTAGCCATTTTTGTATTGGTAAGGAATGACTAAGAGAATTGCGGCGAATAAGAAAGAAGTTATCAAGATTGTTTCCAAAAACCTCGTTCTGATCGCTTGCGTTGATGATCTCGATTTTGAGCCATTTGAGATCACAGCATCAATATCTGAAATCATTTCTCTTTATTTATATATTGAGCTTGAGTCGGAAACTGGACATATTATTTATAGCAACTCGCAATATGTCTCACACCTACTGTGCGGTTTATGAGATCAACTTTCTTCCATACTTTTATTTCTTCCTATTCTTTTCTACCTTTGTGGGCTCCCATCCAAATCTACGTAATGATAGAAATGAAATAATTATGAAAGAAGAAACCTTTTTTTGATTTTTTTGCCTTTTAGTAGAGGTTTGGAATCTTAGTTCCACCCATTAATTTGAGTGTAGTGTTTGGTGAAGCCTTTCAAAAATTGATTCCACATCCATTGTTGAAAACACGTCTACCGGGCCATTCTCTTGCACGTCTCCTCGGACGGCTGGCTAGTCGTCTAGCCGGTTGACTGGAATAATATTCAGTTTGCTTGGTTTTATTTTTTAAAAAATACTTTTCAGAAAATTCTACTTTTTTATTTTCCGTATTTTTTTGTTTTTACTGAATTTTTTTATTATTTTAAGCAACTTTTTTACTTTTTAGACACACCTAACATAAATATACTTAAAAAGTAAAAAAATTGTAAAAAAATATTTTAAAAATTCACTAAATACAAAAAATATAAAAAAAATACAAGAATTCAGTACATTTATGTATTTATTAATTTTTTAAAATATTTTTTTATAATTTTTTTACTTTTTAGATACATCTAATTAAGGTGCATATAAAAAAATAAAAAAAAATGTTTAAAATTTTAAAAATATTCACTAAAAACGGAAAAAACACGAAAACTAAAAAACTCAATTTAAAAAAAACTTAATCTAGAAAATTCAAACCAAACACACTGATTCGTGTTTTAATTTTTTGGCACTTATTATTTTTATATTTTAAACAAAAAATATTTTTGGATTTTTAATTTTTTTTTTATGAGCTTTGAATAGATTTTTTGATTGTGGGTTTGGTTATGAGTTTTAAGTTTTTGAATCAAATATCATATATCACATCAAAAATTTCAAACTCTTTTCAAAATTCTTTTTAAAACTCATAATCAAACAAAATTTTCACACTAAAATCGTAATTTCAAAACTCACAAACTCAAAATACAACTCTATTATCAAATCATAATTCTATAACTCTACCAAATGCTACCAAAATAATTATGGTTTGAATGTGACATTTTATCTTATTAGTTTTTGACCTATTTTGTTTTTATATAACTAAAATAGCTAAAAAAACCTCTCCACTCTTACATGCCAAACGAGCACCTAGAATAATACATCTATAGTTTATGTATATATTTATAAAATATGTAATGGAATGTTCCCATAATTTTATGAGAATTACTTATTAATTTGTTACTTCATCCAGATTTTACAATGTATAATATAATGATCTCCAACTGTTTTATAACTTAGTTAATAGCATTAATTTTATTGAATCTATTTTATTTGTACAAGATAACTTTTATTTGTTTTTTTTTTAAAAAAATAAAAAGGTAGGCATATTTTTAATTTAGAAAAATTACACTAACCTCTCATTAAGTTTGAAAAAAATTATAATAAACTTATAAATTTGACTGAATTATAATTACTTCTCATTATGTATATTTTTTCACTATTTGTTTAATTTTTTTTATCTGTTTAAATTGTAATATACATACACACAAATATATATAGAGAGGAGAGAGAGACTGATGTGTTCAAATTTTTTTATCTGTTCATTTTTTTACATACATATATGTGTATATATATATAGAGGAAGAGAATAGGAAGTGATCTGTTCAAATTGTTTTCCGACAAAGAAGATGAAGATCATGACATGATGGAGACGGAGACGGAGACGGAGATGGAGATGGAGATGGAGATCTCTCCACTACCACCATCACCATCACCACATCCATGGCTTCACTATCCACCCTCCCAATCTCTCGTAACCAATCAAGCACCACCTTCTCTACCACCGCTCAATTTCAGCCACCCATCGACACCCCAACCTTTCACTCCTTCATCTTCCGTCTTTCTACCTTCGTCTGCCACGTATATCTCCCGACGTCGCCCTTGGTCAGAGCTCGTCGACCACTCCTCCCTAGCTTACCCTAACTCTCTTCCTCTGACGCTACCTCTCGCATTCACAAAAACCTATCTTACTTCCACAATCGCCTTCGTCTTAGCTCTCTCCCTCTCTCTCTCTCTCTCTCTCATCGTCTTCGTCTACTTCCTCACTACTTGACTTTTCCTCTACATTTTCCACCTCTCCGATCAACCCTTCGTCCTCTTTGGTGCACTTTTTCCGATTACAAATTCTTGACGAATCATCTCATCGATTGAACAGAAGGATGATAGTCGAGGCAACGCAGACGAAGTATTGATGATCAGAGACTACAGATCAAGACAATGGCGGTGACAACAACAACAGGACGACAGTGGATTTGAGTTCATAGATGCCACTGCCATTAGAGAGAGAGAGAGAGAGAGGGAGAGAAATTTCAGTATGGGTAGGGTGAACTAGTAGAGAGAGAAAAAGGACGAGACGTGGAATACAAAGTGATTTTGAGCAAGGAAAATGTTTGGGAATCCATAAAGGAGATTCGATGACTCTTACTAACGTATTGATTATTCATGTGTTTAAATTTTTTTAAGAATTGTGTCTGACAGTAATATGAATAGTTCAAATTATTTTGTAGGTTGTGAGGATTGTGTTTTGTGAGGATATCTATCATTACTATTGAACAAATAGAGGCGTGGTTCTCAACAAATAAAAAGGCGCGTGGATTTTTAGGTAAAAGAAATATGGGTATTTTGGTTATTTCGTCTAAGCATATCTTTAAAGACAAAATATTTTAAAGTTTGAATTTTTAGACAAACAAAATTCAAATTTCGATTTACAGGCCGAGCGCCTATAATTTACCTCTCTATTTATTAGATTATGTCAACTGATAAAATTATTTAACAGATAGTCTAATCGATTATATACTAAATTCTAATTTATAGTTCAAAATTTTAGAAAAAAATGAAAAAATAACTTTCTAGTTTCATATAAATTTTTTATTATGAAATATAATTCTCGCAACACTTAGCTCATGTAAAAAATGCCCTTTTATTTATTTATTTATTTATTTTTTTAAAGATTTGATGTAACAAATTATCTTTGATTAGTTATGTACCATTTTTTTTTTTTCACACCACCACCCTCAACCAAAATTTTTGATTTCATCCCTACCTACAAGAGAGGTAGGTGAAGTATGGAAGGGAGACGATCCTCTTAAATTCGCCACCACACCTACATAAGGCAATTAATTTAAATTCTCTATTTTTTGAAAAATTATGTGGTGCTCTTAGGATAAATCTATATGGTGCCTCAACTTGATATTTATTAGTTAAACAGCTTGATAAGTGTTAAGTGATAAGTGGTGTGGAGCAATATTTAAAGATCATCAAATAATCACTCGCACTTTTATTTTTTTATTTTTTGCGTGAGACAAGCCACAAAGGCTAAAAGAAGCTTTCTTAAGAAAATAAGGAATGTTTTTAAAAATGGCAAATTATATTTAAGGGTGTTTTGAAAAGATAGTTAAAAGCAGGCTTTTTGATTTTTTTGACTTTTTCACTGTTTCATATAAGAGGTGATGTAATCCAAAATGAGTTAAAAGTTAGCTTTTGGCTTTTTTAGTGTGTTGCCAAAACACGTCTTAACATCTTAGCACTTTATCTTGCTTTATCTCTTAACTTTTTAATTGTGATAATTAACTCCTTAGGCTTCCAGTCAAATTCCAATTGAGTCTAATGTTTAACCATCATTAGAGGATCAAACCGAAAACGCCCCACCTAATGTTGTGTTTGATTGGAGGATTTGAGAAAGAATTTGAAAAGGGAAAGGAAAAATGTAGATGAAATGTGAATAAAATATACATATATTTCACCAAATTTTACACATCTTTTTCTTTTTTTTTTTTTTTCAAATTCCTTCTCAAATCTTCCAACCAAACACAACATAACTATCAATTGATATTGTTGGAAGGGTAAAATCATAAATTCACATCTCTTTTCCACCTAGACCACACATTTACTGTCATGCACTATAGAAAGCTTATATACATATACCAGGGAATTTTAATTCAGTGCAATATTTTAACAAAAATTATAAAAAAAATGAGAAAATTTATACATATTAATAATTAACAATATAATTATTTTCATAATTTTATAATAATTTTCTGGTAGACTTACTGATACGTAATTTCCCCCATATATATTCTCTACATTTGTCGCAGAGAAAACAGACTTAAGTTAATGGAATTCCAACAACAAAAGAAAATTGTATTCATAACATTCATATTCCTGAATAAATTGATCTTGTTAAAATTCATATTCCAGAGTAAATTGACTTTGGTGACATGTCTAACAAACACTTCAGCTTTGTCCATTAACAAACATTGGTTCATTTTTTTTTTTTAATCGGTAAAAAGTAATATATTATTAGGATAATAAAATATTGCAGAAAAACAAATGAAAAAAGAAATGCCCGTGAACGTAAGTTTATAGTCGAACCACATATATTTTCTTGTTTTTGTGTGATTTCTTATTTTACTTTCTTGCTTTCGTTTGTTTTGTCATAACATTAACAAACATCGGTTAGGATATGATTTTTTTTTTAATTTTTAGATGAGAAAGTATAAGATTTAATATATTATACAACCGACAATAAATCGTCTAATAAAGTGTATCTAAGTATAAAATAGATCTCAAAAGGAATAAAGAGAATCTCCACGTAAGCATGATACGAGTCTCCACATAGGAAAAAAAAAAACCTCCATGCAAAGAGGAGAACACCTCCATGAAAGGAGGACACCTCTACATAGAGAGATATTATTGCAACACAAAAAAAATAAAACAAAAACGATTATCACCAAACAAACAATATCAATCACTTTTACAATTCATTCATCATCGTAACCGATAGCTTTGGTAACTTAATTTCCAATCTACGTTAGAAAATAAAACATTCTAGATCTGAGTTGATTACCTAGCATATAACAACGCGTTTAACAATATTGGATCTTGGACATGAATTAGATCTGAGACTAGATCTAAAAGCTTTTTTGATAGCAAGACGATGGAGACAAGAAGAGCAGTAGTGGCTAACATGGTGATAGAAACTGCATGACAAGAAAC